TTATAGTAGTTCTTAATTAGAAGAAAAATTCATAAGAGCTTTATATATGTTGATGATAGGTTTTAAATCCTTGCCTCTTTAAGCTGGTGGTTTGAGCATACTTCTATCCCATATGGACATAATATCCTCCCTTTTAAACTTACCAAAAGCAGCCAACACAACAGAATTATGAATGGGCCAATAAAGAAGACGGCAAGAATGCTTGGCCTGGGTTCCCAGTCTGTTCCTGCTTACTCTAGCATTTGGGGGCTCCTTGGGGATATGACCTTAAGGATAGAGCCCCATGTCTAGGGGCAATGTCCTGTATTGAGAAAAGCATCAGAATTAGAAATAAAATCAAAATGGCACCATCACTTCATATGTATGAGTTCTGGGCAAGTGACCCAGTTTGTCTGAGCCTCACTTTTCCCATCTCTAAACTGGAGATAAGAATAAGCTAAGTCATGAGAATCTTGTGCAAATTAATAAGATAGTATTTGTGAAGAGCAACTGCAAATAATCAGCACTAATTAATATTAGTTTCTCATCCTCCATTTCATGAGACTCCTTTATTTCTCCCTCCTCACTGCCCACTCATCTCAACAGGCAAGTACTAGCAGAGTTCAGGTGCCACAGATATACTTCATCATGAGATTATGACCAAATACAGGCAAAGCTACAGACAGCAATGATAGAGATGGGCTTATGGGCAGAGTCCAACCACATCCTAGAGCATGATATCCCGCTATTCTGGATTTTTCCCTCTTGCTCCATTCTCTTCCAGTTTCTCTTATGATATATCAATAAGATAACTCCTTCCTGAACTTGTAAAGGATCTAGTCCATGAGACTGAGAATTTTAATAAAATCCTCAGGACCCAATTCAGCCATGCCTCTTTTTATCTGCATAAGTTCTAAGTAAAGACCATATACAGACTCTCACTCTACTACATCCAGCCTTCTGATCAATAATACCTCAACCAATGCTTGTTGATAACTGATATTTCCTTGACAGTGAGGTAGTATGCTGTAGAAGGGATTCAAATCACCTCTCCACCATTTGTCAGCTATACGTCTTTGGGCAAGTTATTGCACCTCCTAGAGCCTCAGCTTTTCCTCTCTAAAACTGGCATCACAATCCATGAATTATAGTAAGAATTAAATAGTATAATATATGTAAACTACCTCACCCATAGAAGGTGTCCTATATGAGATGACATTGCTTTCATTAAATATAACATTCAAAGATCTCTATGGGAGAAACACAGTGCCTTATCTTCAGTGCAACCCAGGCAAAAGTAAATGTAGTCATAGATTTCTCCTGGGCTCAAGGTTTGATGCCTTTGATGAAAGTATAGGACTACACTAGGGATTACAGGCAAGAAATCATCAAGTAGATTCTAATAAAGGAGCTAAAATATTAGTGCTAATTAGAGGAAGAAAGTAACCAAAGCTCTCTAGCTAGAAGTGTCCTTTAAACAGACTTTCAGGTAACAGTGCTGTCTAAAGAAGACAGAGGGAAGGATCAGGGACTTCGGAGAGAAACATTAGAGAGGACTGATCAATACTGCATGCACTAAATAAGCACACATTGTGCTACCTACAACATGAGTGATGAGAGGGAAGTCCCAGCCTAGATTTGAGGATATGCCCACTAATTTTTATAGCCTGATGGCTCTGTTCCTCATCTCCCCAAGGCTTGGGGTTAAAGGCATAAAAGTTATTATCCAGTGGAGATTTGATTTGCTGTATCCCAGTCTTCAGGAGCGGGGAATAAGAAATGACTTCAGCAAGAGCACAGAGGAGTGCTGAGCACCTGTACACACACACACACACACACACACACACACACACACACACACACCTGCTACTGATAAAAGATACCAAGTCCTGCTCTGAACTGTATGCTTAAGTTATTCAGCTCCTGGGAATATGGGTTGGCTTCTCAGCTTCTTTCTAGGAGACCTAGAAACCAGAGTGAGCCTATAAATTCCATGGTCTAAAACGTCTCACTGAAAACAGAAAGAGAAGTCATGCATCTGGAGCTTACTCTTTTCAATTCATCAGCTTCAGAAATGGAAATGTAAAGACTCAACTCTGCCCACCAGGAAGAGGACTCAAGAAGACAGGGAACCAAGATCTTGGTGGAGATGTGCATTGATTGCTCAGTTTTTCTCTTACTGTCTAGGACAGATGCCCTATGGCAGTGCTCCCTAAACTTTGATGGTCCTTAGAATCACCTCAGGGTCTCATTAAATATGGAGATCCCAGCTCCCCCTCCAGAGATGCTCATTCATGAGCTCTGGAGCCAGGTGATTCTGAGGCCAGTGGTGCTAAGAGTAAACCTTGAGGGAACACTGCCCTTAGGAAGGGTGTTGGGGTCCATGCCCTGTGAGTGTAACTCCAAAAGGAGTTGGGGAAAGACCTTCCCCACCAGATTCAGGTTTCCCCTACTTAGGTGTTAATTTGAGATATAGATAGGAATTTTTCTCCCAAATGGAAATTCTTTTTTGGTTTGCTGCTTATAAAATTAATTCCTCTTCATGATGGAAATCCAAATAACAAACATGAAAACAAAGGAGAAAGTCAAATCACTTCACCCTTTCATTATTTATTTATTTTTTATCCTTCTTAGATGGCTTTTATTCATAAACATATGTTTACATAAATGAGGCTTATTTTATGGCATTTCATAGCTTTCTTTTTCTCTAATAATTTATTGTGACCATATTTGTATTTCTACTTCCATGCATATCAACACAGACATATGTACTTAAAATTTTTAATTTTTAATCAATCTCCTATTAAATTCACACAAAGATTCACTGTGAAACTTTATTAGCAATCCCAAAAATCATCTGTTTTTTCAGTTGTCTGATCAAGGCTACTTTAATACCTCTAAAAGCATAAATTTTAATGGCTCCGCTATCTTTGTGCCTTAGTGCCTGGTTCACTCTTTTGGAGAGAGAATTCAACTGTGAAAATACATCAACAGTGCAAGTCTAAGTAGAACTGTGTGTAAACGGAGGCAACAACACTAGATTGTTTTCATGCACTCATAGCCTAGGTCAAAGGTTATGGAATGAAACAAGATGAATAACAGAAAAGTTACTATGGCAATATTCCACGTGCCAAACTGCTTCAAAATGCATGAAGATTTCTGTCCTCACACCTCCAACAGATTCTAGTTTAAGCCATAGCCACAGCCTTCAATGTAATCTGACTACTTGTTGCATACTAATTAGTCTTACCTTTATGTATAAAATTGAGTGAACGCATTGCATTTTGCATTAGGCAGATGAGGGAGAAAAAGACAGGAGGTAAAGACTGTAGTAAAAATAACAATAACGTAGATTGGATTCAAGACAAATGCAATCTCATGGGCTGTGTAAAAAACATCGCAAGTTAAATGAGGCCTTTTAGAAATGAATGAAATCATTTAACATAAAATTGTTCAATGTCCTGCCAAGAATTTAAGTATCCTTTTGTGGGGCTTTTCTGAAATTATCTAGTACTTTATGTACCCGATGTACAATTTAATGTGCATCACGTGTGAAATAATGGTTTCAGTTAGTTCAAAAATATAAAAGTATGTTGTTTTTAGAGTTGTTATAGATAGAACATGTGAACATGCCTCAATAATCTTCAAGGAAAATTAGAACATTCTGAGTGACATTAGCAAAGTTACAAGTCACACTGAAATTCCTCAAGGCTTAAAGGAAACAAGGAGCCACAGATGAATGTGGGATATAATTTTTTTTTTCAAAGCTTTGGCTTCATTTTCATTAAGCATATAGTCTGGCATGATGGTACAAAGCATGCTATGTAGTAACTCGTATGTCTGTATTATATATACAGGAGAAAAGAAAATCTGATAGCTCAGCAAATAACTCATATATTAGAGACTGAACGAAGGAATTTACTGCACCCATAATCAATCTGAAAATATCAACATGAACTACTGATTTCTCTATTATTAAAATAAGCTGTCTCTTGTTTCACTCTACCTACTACCAGAATTCACATAGGTGTTATCAATGGGCATTCCACAACTTCCAAGATTTAACTCACAGTTCTGCAGCATCAGCGTCATGGGACAACTTATTAGAAATGCAAATTATTGGGCCCCACCCCAGAACTACTGAATCAGAATTTGTGGTGGTAGATCCCAGGAATCTGAGTTTTAACTACCACTCCAGGAATTCTGATGCATACTAAAGTTTGAGCAGCTTTGCTTTTCATTCTTCATTTGGGAAGGCAGGATGTTCATGAAAGATACTGGAGTGCTGACTCTGGAGTGACATTTGTAGAAAAATGATGATGCTTTCAGAGAGCTAGAACTCTGATTTGGTCATATTTCAAAGGAGGCCAATAGGAAACACTCTTTCATTAAAGATCGAATATGGGAGCTAAGCAGTACCAACCAGGCAGCACTGGCAAAGAGCGAGTCTCTGGGGAAGCCTCAATCTCCTACAGGTCCCTCAGTCCTCAGAGTTACTGTTGTATCACTTTACACCATGGACAGAGAGTAATACCTTGCCTCTTAGGTAAGTGGCAAAAAGTTTGGATTTTTTTTTTTTTTACTTCCTTAGAACCATAAAGACAAAAAGGAAATCTACTTAGTCCACATGAGAGAGAATAGTAAAATAATGTGGCTAATTCTTTAGATCCTGTGTTGTGTTAAAGCCTGGAATTATGGGCCAAAAATACATGTATCTCTAAAAATCTCCTCAAAGGATAATGAAACTGTATATTATTGTATTATTTATGTTCCCCCCCCCAAGTGGCAGAAATAGGTAATAAAATTAATTTAGCATTTGCAGATCAAATGCTATTCACAAAGAAAAACGTTGTTAATAAGAGAATGAAATTCTGGTCAACAAATATTTACCAAGTCCATCCAACACACCATCATTTGTCTTAGGGTTTGAGGGCATAAAGGGTTTTGAGACACATTCAAATGGAAAATCGAATAAATGAGATCAACTAAAATGAGATTCTGAGTTTTAAAAGAGTCAGATGTCACTGTGAGAAAAGTATTGCTCTACTGCAGAGTTTCCCAAGGGCCTCTTTCATGTCCCTGTTCCTAAGGCTGTAGATAAAGGGGTTCAACATGGGTGTGACCACCGTGTACATGAGAGCCACAATAATGTCCTTGTCAATGGGATTGCTTAATGCTGGGAAGAGGTACTGCCCAAATATTGCCCCATAGTACAGAGACACCACAGAGAGATGGGACCCACACGTGGACAATGCTTTGCAGATCCCTTTGGTTGAAGGGACCCTCAGGATGGTGGCCCCAATGTAACCATAAGATACCAAGATACATAAGAATGGTAGGGTAATGACCACCACCCCTACTGTAAACATGACCAGCTCATTGAGGAAGATGTCTGAGCAGGACAGCTTGAGCAGGGCAGCAAGGTCACAGAAGAAGTGGGGAATGGCATTAGCAGCGCAGAAGGACAGCCGGGTCAGGAGAAGGGTGTGGGAGAGGGAGCTGGCACAAGACAGGACCCAGGATATGGCCACCAATAAGGTGCAGAGCTCTTCCCTCATGATGGTGGTGTAGTGGAGAGGGTGACATATGGCAACATATCGGTCATATGCCATTGATGCAATAAGAAAGCTGTCCAGGTCGGTAAAAAAGATGAAAAAATACATCTGTGCTATGCACCCCACATAGGGGATGGAGAGGTGTTGGGTCTGCATGTTCATCAGCATCTTCGGGACGGTGACAGATGAAAAGGAGACGTCAGTGAGGGCCAAGTGGCTGAGGAAGAAGTACATGGGGGTGTGGAGGCGGGAGTCCAGCCGGATGAGCAGGATGATGAGCAGGTTCCCCAGCACCGTGGTCAGGTACATGCCCAGGAACAGGAGGAAGAACACGCCCTGCTGCTCTGGCGGGATGGGGAGCCCCAGGAGGAGGAACTCGGACACGCTGCTCTGGTTCTCAGGCCTCATGCTCCTCTTCTCTCTAATGGGGGTGAAGAATGGTTGAGAATATTAGAGACTCTGAAATAACTCTTTTTAGCAGTCAATTAAAAAGATATATTTTAAATGTTTACAGCATGTTTATTCATATAACAATTGCTAAAACTTGCAACCAACCAAGATGTCCTTGAGTAAGTGAATGAATAAACAAACTGAACGTGCAGACAAGGGAATATTATTCAGTATCAAAATGAAATGATATCAAGTCACAAAAAGACATGCAGGAACCTTAAGTGTATATTGCTATGTGAAAGCCAATCTGAATAAGCTACACATGGTATGATTTCAAGTATATGACATTCTGGAGAAGAGAAAGCTATGGAGACAGTAAAAAGATCTATGGTTTTGGCTGGGTGTGGTGGCTCACATCTGCAATCCTAGCATTCTGGGAGGTGGGCGGATTGTTTGAGCTCAGGAGTTCGAGACCAGCCTGAGCAAGAGCAAAACCCTGTCTCTACTGAAAAAATAGAAAGAAAATAGCTGGACAACTAACAACAACTATATATATATATATATATATATATATTATATATATATATATAATATATATTTAGCCGGGCATGGTGATGCATGCCTGTAGTCCCAGCTACTCAGGAGGCTGAGACAGGAGGATTGCTTGAGCCCAGGAGTTTGAGATTGCTGTGAGCTAGGCTGATGCCACGGCACTCTAGCCTAGGCAACAGAGTAAGACTCTGTCTCAAAAAACAAAAAAAACTCTATGGTTTTCAGGGGATGGGAGAGGTGAGGGGTAAATAGGTAGAATACAAGGGATTTGGGGGGCAATGAAGTATTCAACATACTATCTTGGATACATGTCATTTTACATTTACCAAAACCCATGGGATATATAACACAAATAATGAAATCTAATATGAACTATGGACTTTAGTTAATAATAATGTATGAATATAGACTCATCAATTTTTTAAAATGTATTTTAGAGACAGTGTCTCACCACGTTGCCCACGCTGCAGTGCAGTGGCTATTCTCAAGCGTGATCACTGCACACTACAGCCTGGAACTTCTGGGCTCCAGTAGTCCTCCTGCCTCAGCCTCACTAATAGCTGAATCTACAGTTGCTTGTCACCATACCCAGATCTGACTTATCAATTGTAACAAATGTACCATCATGTAATTGCAAGATGTTAATAATAGAGGAAACTGGAGGGGAAGCTCAGCAGAGTGTATTTGGGAGTATTTGGTAACTTTGTACTTTTCATTCAATTTTTCTATAAACCCACAGCTGCTCAAAAAAAGAAAATCTATTAAAACAAAACCAAATTGTACTCTATATGCCTAAATACTTCATAAATCTGTACTCCAGGCATCACGAGACGTTTGGGATGGTTAGGACACAGCACAGCAATTATTGGGGTGTAACTCAATTTATGGGCTCTCCGTCATTTACCCTTCCAGGTAGAGAGGCAACGAGAGACTTTTATAAGTTTTTGCTCTGCACTTTCGCAAATAGTGGGAAGGCAGAGAGTTTTCTTGTATATGTTTCTTCTCAATTGCCTTCAGCTTAAAATAATATTGATTTTGAGGTGGCATATTCTGGTCCCCTACATGGTGTTCAAACAAGGTTACTTCTTCCCCATTGTCATTAATCTTTTCGTTATCTTCTCATTCCTCTTAGCACAGTCAGAGAATAACACATTATCTTCTATGCCTGGGGATGGGAAAGTGCAGGCTGGTAACAGGAAGATAGAAATCTTCCTGGGAGTGCCAGGCACCCAGGCCTGACCGGCATTACACTGCAGGCGAACCCAAAGCTGCCCCATGGACCACACACCACCTGACGCCAGAGGCTTCCATCAAAAAGGCCTCAACAGAAGCAGGGATGGAACGTGAATTCACAGGCTTAGGCTGAGCAGCTCTTGCGGAAATCCTTGCGCACAATGCCAATGCAGGTTCCTGAGCTGATGTCACTACTTCAACTGTATTCGTCTCTCCTGCTTTCTCATTCATCTTGCCACCTTCCTGCAGCCTTGCTCTCTTGGTCCCTGCCTTGTGTCTCCTTGACTAGGACTGTGATCTGGCCTCCTTTGAGGTTTCGGGAATATCATGTTTCTGTTCAGGATAAGCATGCTGCTGAGGCCTCAGAAAAACTATTTTCTTGCTGTCAGTACTCAAATTGAGTTGTTGGCACCTGTTCCACAAACGGTCTCAATGTGCATTGTTAATGGGAGGCAAAATGGTTGGCAAGGGAAGAACTGGCGTCTACATCTAGCTTTTGGAGGAGCTTTCAATTGTTCATTTGTCGGAGGTAGATAAACTTTATTCATCGTGTTTCCTGGGTTTGTTTGGTTTGACATCAGAAGTTGAAGATACAGTTGGTTCCACTTTCTCTAGATATGACTCCTCTTTAACTGGAACCAATGTCAAAATCACACTTTCCTCATCATCTGTTTCCTTGTCAGAGAAATTCTTCTAGCTGTTATCGTGATTTGAGTCTGAGTTTTCAGCAACACCTAGGGGAAGCCAAAGCCAGCAATGTTAAGGATATGTGCAGTTTACTTCTTTTAATCTCTAAAAAGATATATGTTTTATTTCAGAAAGTGGGAAACTTAACCTGTTTCTCATATTTTTCCCTATGTGTTGGAACATAAGGAAGCTAGAAAAATTACTGTGGAGGCCAATGTTAATGAGAGCCAGCATTTCTGGGTTCACTGACAAAACAGAATTCGTGCACCTGTGACGCTTGAGGCCCAAACTGTGGAAAAACTTGTTTCAGCCATGTTATTGCCCCAAAAAGTTTCTGTGGGGCATGGTCCAAATCATTAGTTGTGGCACAGCAACTGTTAGAAGATTTGACTTCAACATCCATTATTAAATAGCAGATGAGAAGCAGCCTTTGCAAATAAAAGGATGCAAAGAATTGTATTGTATTCCTTAAAGAACAGTCATTAATATGCATACGTTTTTGTTTCAATTAAGTAGAGGGTCCCTAAGAAATTCCAGATTCTATCAATCCATTTTCTCTACTGTAGCCAAAAAGCTTTTCTAAAACCTGTATTTCAATATGATTTCCCCAGTCTAAAATTTCCTACAGATCCTGCAAAACTGGTGTCTCTCCTGCATATCCATCCTCTTTCTCACTCCCCTCTCCTCTCTCACCCTTGCTGACTTCTCTGTTCCAGCTTCTCTGGAAGGCAGGTTTCTATTTAATGTCATTTAGACTTCTGGTCATCCTCGCATTTGTGGCTGTGGATTTCCTCTGATCCCATGTTATGCTGAGAAGGCAAGTACCAGTCTGGCTTCTAGAAAATATTTTAGGCAAATTCATTTGTACTTTATTGTCTACTGCTATTAATAATGTAGAGTAGCTTAAGTGACAACCTCGTCTGAAGTGATATTCGAAATATATATTTTCTAATTCTTTCCCAGCCAAGCCCTCTTTCCTGCCTAGGCAACATATATCAATAGCACTCATCCCATAACAAACTGTGGAGACTATCATCAAAAGTTTCCAAATGAAGTGAGATATGAGTTGTTGCTCAAGTTTTCATCTCCCTCTTGGGTTCTCCTGTCAAGTTAAAACATACCTGTTTGCCAGTTGTGGTAAGCAGAATAAGGACCCACAAAGAGATTAGTCCATATCCTAACCTCCAGAACCTATTAATAAGTCCTGGTGTTCAGGTTACAGATGGAATTGAGTTTGTTAATCATATGACTTTAAAATAGGGAGGCTAGCCTGGATTGGCTGGGTTGGTCCAATGTAATCATGAGCCCTTAAATGTGGAAAAGGAGGCAGGAAAGTCAAGAGTCAGCGAGGTATTTGAAGATGTTATGGTACTGGCTTGGAAGATGAAAGAAGGTAAGCTGAGGAATGCAAGTGGCTGCCAGAGCCGGAAAAGGCAAGGACACGGTATCTGCTCTAGAAGCTCTGCAAAGAAGGCCAACATTTTGGTTTTAAGCCAGGGAGGTCCAGTTCAGACTTCTGACCTCCAAAGCTGTAAGATAATAAATTTGTGGGGTATTTTAAAGCCACTGAGTTTATGGCAAATTGTTAGAGCAGTAATAGGAAACTGAGACATCAGTGTTGGAAACATTTCATATATATCCAAATAATCTGGTTACCTGGATACTGGGACGCAACAAAATCCACATGCTCTTACCCGGCTTCCACCTTGCATAAAACAAAACAAAGCAATCACTCAACAGGGCTAATTTCCACCTAACAAGTTGGGCAATGGTTATCATCTCTTTAGAAGCATTTGTCACTAATCATGAAGGACACTCTAGTCCACCCCCTCTCCTATAAAATTTTAATGCCATCCTTTCTTTTAATAAGAATAAGCAGAGAGCTGGAGAGGGCTCTTACCCATTAAAAGACTTCTAGCCAAGAGCAGAAATTCAGCAGAAGAAGACAAACTGGTGGCATGTTTCAAATCTTTGAATTTCTAAATCAAACAACATAGACCTCATCCCAATTCCTGAAGGCATCCTCACTCTAACATACATAGCGAGGCTGGTCAGTAAACACAGTGTTAAAAGTGTTAGGCTCAAATTTTCTCCTTTTTCTAGTCCTACCCAAGGAATGAAGCATTCTCTCTCTCTCTCTCTCTCTCTCTCCCCTCCCTCCTTCCCTCCTTTCTCTCTCTCTCTCTACACACACACACACACACTTTGAAGGAGCGTGAGACTAAAGATAGACTTGGCTCATAACCATAGTCTGATTATGGTATGCTTGTTCCACAGCAGGTTTCTGAACCTTTGTGAATCTCAGAAAGATGAAGATCTTTAAGCAACAGGAAATTACACCCCATAAGGTTTTTGTAAAGATGAAATGAGATGACATGAGCAAAGCCCCTGGTACCTTTGCTCGCAGAGCCCTCAATGCATGTTGGCTCCCTTCCTACCACAATTAAAGACAAAATGCAAATCTACCCAGAGAGGGAGCAGAGGGATTTACATTCTTTTGCACCCAAAAGAAAAGGATCCGTATCAATTCCTTTGCTGGACTCTGGG